TGGAGCATCAGTAAGATAGTCACTTTATTAGTGAACTTTTGCCTTCTGTACTATATAGGTTTACTGTGCTGTCCAGATTTTTGTGTTTGGTTTTGTTTTGTTTTTTTTTTTTTAAAGGCTTTTTTTTTTTTTTTTTTTTTTTTTTTAGTTCTCAGCGGACACAACATCTTTGTTTGTATGTGGTGCTGGGGATCAAACCCGGGCTGCACGCATGCCAGGCGAGCGTGCTACCACTTGAGCCACATCCCCAGCCCTTGTGTTTGTTTTTAATGGTACTAGGGATTGAACCCAGGGTTGATCTACCACTGAGCTACATTCTCAGTCCTTTTTATTTTAAGATAGAGTCTCACTGAGTTGCCCAGCCTGGCCTTGAACTTGCAATCCTTCTGTCTCAACCTCCTGGTGCTGGTGTACACCACTGTGCTCTGCATGCTTTCTGACTTATCAGCATTTATTTTTCCTTTTTCCTTACTAGTTTTTTCTTTATTTTTTTATGTGTTGCTGAGGATCAAACCCAGTGCCTTATCCATGCTAGGAAAGCAAGCACTCAACCACTGAGCTATAATCCAAGCCATTTTTCCTTACTGTTAGTATATACAGACAACATCAAAATGTTGAAAAGGTAGAAAAGTAGATGTTTTAAAATTTCATTAAGGATGGATATACTGTGGCCAGTGGAGTGAGGTGTCCATTTGATGTTAGCTGCCTGAGATCAGGAAGACTGTGGAGGAAAGAGCTCTAGTCACTGTGTTTGGCTCAAGGACCTTTCTGGGTCTCAGATGTGAATCCTGATAGTATAGCCCTAAGGTAAACACATGTGGTGGCACACTCCAGTAATCCCAGCAGCTCCAGAAGCTAAATAGCAAGGGGATTGCAAGTTCTAGGCCATCATTAGCAATTTAGGGAGGCCCTAAACTACTTCTTAGTAAGATCTGTCTCAAAATAAAAAAGGTCTGAGCATATGGCTCAGTGGTTAAGTGTTCGGGGGCGGGGAAGGAAAGAAAACAGAAAATGAAGCTGGGTACAGTGGCACATGCCAGTAATCCTTGCTGTTTGACAGGCCAAGTCAGGAGGATCCCAAATTCAAGGCCAGCCTGGGAAACTGAGTGAGACCCTGTTTCAAAATAAAATTATACAAAGGCAGTGGGGCAGGATTTCACTCAGTAGTAAAGTGTTCCTTGATTTAATTCCCCGTATCTCAAAAACAAAACAAAACAGAAAATGAAATGTGATAGGAAGCCAAATCTGAATCTATAGTTGTTGGTTGCAGTGTAGAGACATAGAATTGTCCTCAAGGATGTCGGGTATAGCTATTAAACTAAACAAGATGATATTCCTAGATACATAATCTGCCAGGAGTTGCTGCAGTGATTGAGTTTGCAGCTATGCATTATAGTCTTTTCAGCTTGTTGGTCAGGTAGTATGAAGTGATCATCTCTGTACCCCACCTGCTCTGACTGGATTTATAAAAAACCACCTCACAAAAGTGTATCTTATTTAGCATTCAGGCAAGTGTTAGAGTGAAGAAAATGGAGTATAAATGCCAGAAATAAAATCACTTGACATTCTGCAATCTAAAGTCAGGAAGTCCTTTTCTAGTAAAGAGGGAAATTGAGAAGATCCACGAGAGCTGTTGTGTTGACAGCATCTCTTTGAATGTTAGGCACACATGTATGCAGACAATGTACCCCTTGCCCTGCATAGGACCTGAGAATGAGCTGAGGGAATGCAGTTCCTTGGGAATGTACCATTGGCCTCTTCCAGCTTTATGGCAATTGGGGATTATGTGTGGCATCTGCAAGAAAGCTATAACCTATACAACTGCTCCTTCTAACCCATTGCAAATCAGAGAGCAGAGTATAGACTTGCTTCTAGACCTGATGCCAGGTCCAAGTCTTTGAACTTGACCTGGGTGATAGATTTTGAACTGGAATCCCAATAGTTATGATTCAGACATCTTACAACAGTTATCTGACAACTAGAGGTTTCATGTGAAAAAAACAGGTTGACTGAAAGTTGTACTATTCAAGGGGGGTGGGTAGATATTTGTATTGTTTGATTACAGAATTACTAGAAATATTTGGGATCCATGAAGTTTTCAACAGCTGACATTAGTATCAGCAAAACATTTTTGTTTCCTAGTTGCCAATGGTTATAAGGTTTCATTCTGATTGCTATTGGGGTAAGAACTGCCACACTTAGTTGGAAGCCCACCACATAATCAAATTAAATCATCAGTGAAGAGATGAGGCTCAAGAATCAATTGTCAGGGGAGAAGGGACTGACATGGCTTGAGTATTGGAGGTTAATGGCAGTTTTAATAACTGTATATACAAATATTTTTAAGTGTTTTTTTTTTTTTTTTTTTTTACTTTTGGTACTTGGGATTGAACCTGGGGAATCTTTACCACTGAACTACATCCCCAGCCATTTTTATGTTGAGATGGGGTAATCTTTTGGGGGTAGGAGGAGGTAGGGATTGAACTCTGTTTTATTTTGTATTTTATTTAAAGATGGTCTCACTGATTTGCTTAGTGCTTCACTTTTTGCTGAGCCTGGCTTTGAAATCTCAATCTTCCTGTTTTAGCCTCCCGAACTGCTGGGATTGCAGGCCTGTGCCACTGTACTCGGCTGAGATGAGGTAATCTCAGTAAGTGGCCAAGGCTGGTCTTGAACTTGGCCCATAATGCATATTTTATTTCATTACATCTGGTGATTATTATTATCTCCTCTCCTCCTGCTACCTCCTCCTCCCTCTTTCTTTTTCCTTTTCCTCTTCATCATAATCATCATCAACAGCAGCATCGGGGTACTCTTATCACCCAGGGTCTCACTAGATTGCTCATGCTGATGTAAGACTTGCCATCCTTTTGCCTCAACCTCCCGAGTAGCTGAAATAATGGGTTTGTGCTGCCATGTCCAGCTTGGCAGTCATCTTCTAATGAGGTTTAAACATCACAAACTATAACACAAAGAGTATAATTTTTAATTTACAGATTGACCAGAATTGAGTATAATATGTTATGTGAGCATGGTTCCTTCCTAGTGTAAGTTAATATCATATTTAGAATAGATATCCTTCTTATTTAATATCAGTGACTTATTTACACCTTTGAGGAAGTGGGTTGAGGGATAGGTAGATTGAGAATAGCATAGGTGAGTGAGTTTGACAGGCATGGTGTAGGTCAACGTGCACTGTTGAATTTGGTTTTACCATATTTCCGAGGATCAGGTCCTTCCAATTGTATATCTGAGAGAGAGTGGAGGTGTGCATGAAGGACCATTATAGCTGCTGCTCTTCATGAAGCTGCTGCTGATCCCTTTGGATTTTGTTATCCTCTAATCTTTACCCTTTGTTTTTGAGTTAGTTTTACCACCTTATCTGGGATAATACTTGAATAGTAGTCAGCCCTCTATGCCCTGGTTCTGCATCCATAGATTCAGTCAATATTGTATTGAAAATATACAGACTCTTGGTATTTTTAAACAAAACAGTAAAACAACTACGTACATAGTATTTATACTGAATTAAGTCTTATAAGTAACCTAAAGATGATTTAAAGTTTACAGGAGGGCCGGGTGTGGCCAGTGGTGCAAGCTTGTATTTGCAGCAACTTGGGATGCTGAGGCAGAAAGATTCTAAGTTTGGAGCCAGCCTTGGTATCTTAGAGACCCTGTCTCAAAATTAAAAATTTAAAAAGGGCTGGGAATATAGCTCAGTTGTAGAGTGTTCCTGCATCTAATCCCCAATGATGTGTACAGTTGTATAAAAATATACCATTTTATGTAAGGGACTTAACTCTGGATTTTGTTGTACCTGGGAGTAGGATGTGGTGTGTAGGCAGGGGGTGGAGTTCTGGGATACCTAGAGCACCACCTCTTGGATACCTAGAGCAAGGGACAACTGTACTTGAAACTTTTTAAAAACATATATATTTTTAGTTGTCAATGGACCTTTATATATTAATTAATTTATTTATTTGTGGTGCTGAGGATTGAACCCAGGGCCTTACACATACCAGGCAAGTGCTCTACCCCTGATCCACAACCCCGAACCCCTGAAATTATTTAATTAAAAAAATTTTTTAAACTTCCTTCTTATTCTCAAACTCATTTTGTTTATTTTTTGCCTTCCAGGAAGACAACTTTAAACTGTTGTCTTACTCAAAATCTAGTGACTTTTTATCACTGTGAAAAAAGTCCTTTTTTTTTTTTGTATTCTAGTAAACTGAGTTTCCAAATTTCTATTTAAAGAAAGAATACAAACACTGAGTAAGAGCATAGTGTTCTCTGACTGAAATGGACAAAATTTAGTGTGCGGACCTGGGCATTTACTTTGATTATTTAAAGTCCTTTTTCTTCTTCTGTATTTATTTTGATTAAAATTACTACGTAAGTGATGTCAGCATTTAATTACCTAGTAACATCAGTGCTGTTATCTCATTTTGTACTATTACAAAGCTTGGGAAGGAAATTGAATGTTAAGCTAATTACAGATACAAAATATACATAATGAGACTACTGATGGGAAATATGGGGTATCTTGTTGATGATTGGGATTTCGTCTATTTCATGTCAAGAAGGAGATTGATTTTGAGTGAAGAAATAAAACTGAAAAGGAGGTGATCAAGTTGAAGTATATTGCTAGACAATATATTGGTCTATGTTCTTTCTTTATGTCCCACCTTTCTTTGAAGTGACCAACTGAAATTATTAATGTTAAGCTGCAGTGAGAGTTTCCTTAAAGGACAAAAGAGAAATCTTATTTCTGGAAAAGTTACCAGTTTCTATATTTTTACTAGTATATAATTTTTAATTTGAATGAAAATAAGAAAGGCATAGTATCTTTACCTTATTCCTAGCTATTATATAATAACTATATTATAGTTATTGCATAGTTTTGTATACTCAGCATTTGCATGTATAAAATCCAAACATTAAGTAGATTCCTTGATTTGCACTTGATTTCTTGATTTGTATGTATATTTTTTTCCATCTAGAGTTTACATTCAAGAAGAAATAATCCAGAAGAGAAAGAACAAGCAGATCAAGATGTGTAGCTCTGTGGCTGCAAAGTTGTGGTTTTTGACAGATCGTCGTATCAGGGAAGACTATCCCCAAAAAGAGATCTTACGAGCTTTGAAGTCCAAATGTGGTGAAGAGGAACTGGACTTCAGGGCTGTGGTGATGGATGAGGTGGTGCTGACAATTGAGCAAGGAAACCTGGGTAAGTCTATGCTGACTGATCTTCTGAATTTTTGCTTGGAATAGGGTGAATCTTTCTGTTTTAGGACAAATGAATCATTAATAGCCTTAGCATTTTAAGCATCATTTGATCATAAAATCTAGTGAATTTTATGGAAATAGTACTAGTTTCCTAATTGGATTTACGAAACACAGGAAAGAAGTTTAAAATGACTTTCTAGTTTTCTTCTATTTTTATTGTCTTCTAATTTACAGTGCTGGAGATTGAACTCAGGGGCTTGCACATACTAGGCAAATGCTCTACCTCTGAACTACATTACCAATCCTACTTTTTAAAAATTTTATTTGAGACAGGTTCTTTTTAAGTCATCCAGGTAGACCTAGAACTTGCCATCTTCCTGTCTGAGCTTTTGGATTAGATGGGACTACAGGGTGTGTGCCATCATTCCTTTCTATTTCTATCTTCTAGTTTTAAATACTTGTTTATAAGGAAATCCTAAGGGAATTTGTATCTTTCAGAGGTCTTGTTAACCCATGTACAGTGACTCTTATTTTCATTTTCTTTACAAAATAATGTGTGGCTTAAACTACTAAAATAGTTAAGGGTAAGTGTGCGTTAATGATGTGACTAATGATGTGTGTTAATGATAAAAATATTTCTGGTATTTGTAATATTTCACATTTGTTTTAGAATTAAAAGGGAAAGATATCCTGGAAGAGCATAGCAATTCTTGAGGTCTAAATTTCAGAAATCTAAATTTTTGCTTTGGAAAGTTACGGTTTGTTAACATAAGTGGTGTTTCTGTCTGGGAATTTCATATGGTATCAGAAAAGTGGAATTTTTTATTGGCTTTAGAACATAACTTGTAATTTAGTATTCTTCCTTTTTTGGTACCGAGGATTGAACTTGGGCACTTGAACACTGAGCCACATCCCCAGCCCTATTTTGTATTTCATTTAGAGACAGAGTCTCACTGAGTTGCTTGGCACTTTAGTGTTACTGAAGCTGGCTTTGGACTCACAATTCTTCTATCTCAGCCTCCTGAGCCATTGGGATTACAGGCGTGTGCCACTGTGCCTGCCTATAACTTGTAATTTAACATATGCACATTCTAGATCACTTAGGAAACAAACAAAAGTAGATTATTTACTTGCTTTGTGACTAGAATCATAGTGAAGCTCCATGGTTTTAATTTCCTCATTAGTACACTGGGGAGAGACAATTATTGTGTGAATTAAAGATATGCAGAGTATATTAAATTCTTACTTTTATTTGCTGTTAGAAAATAATTTTATTCACAGGGTGATTAAAAGATGCAGAATCTTGTCTAATTCCACAGATTCAATTAATAAGTAGACCATCTTAGACCAGTCTTTATTCTCAGCCTTCTTTTAACATTTATTTCATTCTTTGAGCATTTGTTGTTATGTTTCCATGCTATTTCATTTAAGTGAGTATTCTTTTTCTCTTGGATATAATTACCACTTTTTCTTCTTTTTATTTATTTTTTAATATTGGGGATTGAACCCAGGGGTGTTGTACCACTAACCTGTACCTCCAGTCCTTTTTATTTTTGAGACCTGGCCGTGAGTTTGTAAACCTCCTTCCTCAGCCTCCTGAATCACTAGGATTAAAAGTGTGTACTGCTGCACTGGCTAGTTACTAACTTTATAAGGATTATGCTCATTGTTTTATTTTTCAGTCCAATTTTTTTTTTCAATATATATGCCTAGATTTTCAGATTCAGAAGACATTGAGCAAACTCTCTTTCATTCTTTCATTGCATATTATTGGAGTATTTCCTAGATACTAGTTTACTGAAGGGTATGGTATGCAAAATAAAACATAGTTCCTGTTTTCTAGAGGTCGTCTTTAATAATTATTCAAATACATGTAAAATTATTATAGCTTGCTTATAACTTATAGTATAAGTGTATGTGTAGTTATTGTTGAAACTGAAGTCAGAACCTCAGATACTTTTTGTTGGGAGCTATGCTCTTGAAGTGTGCTTGAGAAGAGATATGCCAGTATGAAACATTAGTTCACATAATACCACTCCCACAGGCTTTTGGTGTGTACTTCTGTGTTTTACAGATTAGAAAAACAATGGCTAGAGCCAGGGTTCTTTAAGAAATCTGGTGTCTCAATTGGGCCTGGTGGCAGAGCTTGTAATGCCAGCTACTTGGGAGGCTGGGCAAGAGGATTCTAAATTTGAGGTCAATGTAAGCAATTTAGCAAAACCCTGTTTCAAAATAAAAAAGGGCAGGGTGTGGTGGCGCATGCCTGTAATCCCAGCAGCTCAGGAGGCCGAGGCAGGAGGATCATGGAATTAAAAGCCAGCCTCAGCAAAAGCAAGGTGCTAAGCAACTTAGTGAGACCCTATTACAAAATACAAAATAGGGCTGGGGATGTGGCTCAGTGTTCAAGTGCCCCTGAGTTCGATGCTTGTTACGAAATAAATAAATAAATAAATAAATAAATAAATAAATAAGCAACAACAAAAGGGCCAGGCATGTTGCTCAATGGTTAAGCTCTGGTTTGATCTCAGAGCTTCAAAAAAAAAAAGAAAAAGAAATCTAGTGTCTGTCTAGTAGACAGACAAGATTTGGCAGGTAGAAATTAGTTTGAATAGTTGAAAAAGATCTAGGGTTGAAAACTATTATTCCTGCATTTTTTTCTCAATTTGCCTGCTATATATTTTCACTTCTATGTCAACTAGCATTTCTATGCCAGTTTGTCAAAGCTGAACTCACTTTTTCCCCTACAACGTTCTTCTTTATAACATCACTTTTCTCACATACACCTGGTCTTGTGATGACATTTAAAAATTTAACTCTTTTAGAGCCTGTCTTAACACAATTTTCTTGTTTATTTTCATTCTAAATTTTAACCATTCTATCTTCTTATTCTGAGTCAGACAGTCGTGGCCTCAAATTTTAATGACTACAACAGCCCTTTAGCTCTTTCTCTTTAGCTCTTTCTCTTTTCACATTGGTCTTTCCTCTTTATTTTTCGAATCTTCATTAAACACTGCTCTGATTATCTTTTTTTTTTTTTTTGTACAAGGGACTGAACCCCCAGGGGCACTTAGTCACTTAGCTACATCCCCAGCCCTTTTTATTATTTATTTTGAGACAGGGTCTCACGAGGTTGCTTACAGCCTCACTATATTGCTCTGGCTGGCTTGGAACCTGCAGTCCTCTCCTGCCTCAGCCTCCCAAGCTACTTGGATTACAAGCGAGCGCTGCCACACCTATTCTGATTATCTTAACATCCATTAAGAAGTATTCAGGAAATTATTATTCCCTATAGCATGGTATATACCTCTTGTGTATCCAGACATAACTATATAACTAGGTGTTTTTCAAAACTATTATTTTACATTATTTAAGTATTATGTCATTTTAGGGAATGTTATATTACCATTTTATAGATGAGAAAACTTTTTCACAGAATTCTCTTTTTCTACATAGTACCTAAAACAATGGTCTCCAATAGATTTTCTTTGAATCCAGCTTCATCAGTTAAAAATTTTTGGAACATTCTCCCCAGTATATGCCTATTTGGGGAAAAAAAAAATAATGCTAATCAGAGTTGGTTAGACCAAACTGGTCTGTGGTAGAACTGTGTCCTTGGGCTACCAGAATATATTTGCCCTGTTCATCTCTTTTATTGTCAGTGAGGCCTTGGTTTTTTAGCCTCTGTGCCTCATTCTCAGAACCACCGTCTCTGGCAGCAAGTGTGCTGTTTTTCCCAGCTACTTCATCCAGGTCAAACTACCCTTGCCAACCAAGCTGTGAAGGTAAAGATAGGAAATGGTAGCAGCCTTAGGCAAAAAAGCCATAGACTTCATTGTTCATACCCACAGTTCTACCCTTTTGGGGGGGTTATTATTAAATGTGTCTCAATTAATTTGTCTTTGGCTAATTTCCTGAGCCCCAAAAGTAGAATTTAGACACACACACATAGGTAATTTTGTAGTTGAATGTTTTGAGATGAGAATTTGTTCACTTTCTCATAATGGCATAGTTGGAAGTCTAAGCCTTTTTTAAAAAAAATAAATAAATAACTTGGGCTGGGATTGTGGCTCAGTGGTAGAGCACTCACCTAGCATGCCTAGCATGGGTGGGACCTGGGTTAGATCTTCAGCACCACATAAAAATAAAGGCATTGTGTTGTGTCCATTTATACCTAAAAAATAAAAGAATTCGTATAAAAAAACATCAATTTTTAGAACAATTTTAAGTTTACATTCAAATTGCATAGAAAGTAGATTTCTTGTGTATCCCTTCCCTACACACATGCATAGCTTCCTCCTATCATTTACAGCCCTTACTAGAGGGGTACATGTGTTTAAAATTGGTAAACTTAACGTTGACATCATTATTACCCAAAGTCCTTAGTTTACCTTGTGGTCCACTCTTGTGTTGGACATTCTGTGGGCTTGGACAAATGTATGACATGTATCTATTGTTGTAGTTTTATACAGAATAATTCAGTGCCCTAAAAAATCCTGTATGCGCTCTGCTTATTTATCTTTTTCTTCTTCTCCCACTTATTCATCCTCTGTCCTTTTCTTCCCTCTTGACAACCTTGGACTTTCATAGTTTTCCTTGCCTAGAATTCCATAGCTGCAGTAATAAACTCTAGCCTTTTTCATGTTGGCTTCTTTTAATTAGTAATACCCATTTAAGACTCTAGCATGTATTTTCGTGGCTTGATAGTTTTTTATTTCTTTTCAGTGCTGAATAATGTTACATTTGTCTGGATGTATCACAATTTATTTACTCATATACCTATTGGAGGATTTCTTGGGTGCTTCTAAGTTCTGGAAGTTACGAATAAAGCTGGTTTAAATTATCTTTGAATATGTTTTGTATGGACATAAATTTTTGACTCCTTCAGGTAAATAAGTGCCAAGAAGCATGATTGCTAGATCATAAGGTAAGGATATGTTTAGCTTACTAAGAAACTGCCATACTGCCTTAAAAAGTGTTGTATCATTTCACATTCCAGTTAGC